AACATATTTCTTTCTGTGTTAAACTTGTAATAATGTCATCTGTAAACTTCAATAATGCATGATATGTTGAATTCGGACCTGACTGGTTTTGGTTTCATTTCTTTTTTTATTCAGATGTTTTTTTTTAATGTGTAACTTCATAATTTAGTTTGAAATTTAAAGTATTATTTTTGTTCATTGTTTAGAATTTGAATGAGATTTGGTATTCTGAGACTCCAGATTTCACACCGTGCTTTCAAAACACCGTATTGATATGGATACCATGTAGCTTTCTGTGGTTGTTTGCTCCTGTAGAGGTGTATTTTTTGAAGAAGAGCCATTACAAGCCATTACCATGGACACTGCTGAACATCACAAAATTGGTAAGTAAGAAGTTGTAGCATGTTACTTGTTAATGAGAATCCATAGTTTCTGTTCATTATACCCTGCTGTACCGTACATCCACCTTGGCCGAAAGGAAGATCTACTAGACATTAATTAAATTATAAATATATCAATTTATGTGAATATGACTGAAAAATGTCATTTTTTCTAAAAAGGTGGTGTCTATTTACTTGTGACCACGCTGTGACTATATATATATAGTACGTTATACTAGAACGATTTTAAATATACACACCAATCAAGGCCTATATAAAGTTGCTATAGAATGGAATGTATCAGAACTACATTTTGACATTGTTTGACGTATTGTAAGTAGTGTGATGCCACCGAAAATTGATTGCATTTTGGGAAAGGTATATAACAGCCCTTTCCAGCGCAAAATATTCATACACTTACATCAGAAAGATGTGTTCAGATCGGGAAAGAGTTGGGATTTCGAAGACAGGGATATTCCTTGTGCTCAATCGAATTGGAAACAAAGTTGTTTCTATAGCATATTCATTCAACCATCACAAAGCTCAAGCATCTGGAGAATTAAACCAATATTTGTGCTTTTACATACGAATACATAACAGTCAAATCGTTGAACGTAAAGTATATGGGTTTCTAAACGATCGACCTGTTGAAACGGGCACTGGGAAATCGCAGTCCTCATAAGTTAGGTGGTTTGTGGAAACACTGCAGAGAAGAATGGTGTACTTTGGACACGAAAGCACTACAACAGAAGATTCTGCTATAGCAACTACGTTGCAGAGCTATTGTCAAGATGCACTACCATCAGAAAGAACATGACCGGACGTGGCAGCATGAACTGTAATTGTTTTAATATAATGTATCCTCCCTCTTTACCGTGTTAACAGGTAGTTATCAGATTCCAAGTATTTAGCGCATCCAAGTCCATCATATTTTATTTGTTTCTTGGCTGAACTCAAACTTCAAAATTTGCCATGTTCTTCACGCTGATTAGCTTCCTGTGCTGACGTACTATGGGGTTGTTCTAACCTCTACAGCTATTAAATTCTACCACATAATTTTATATGATTAACATGAAAGACTATTTTTACGATGCTCACAATTTCTGTATTTATAAAAAATTTAAGCAAATTTAGGTTCACTTTTATTTCCATTATTTTACATCAGTTACATTTTAATTTAGTTTTTAATTTACCATGCATCCATCCATCTTTCTCTCTGTTTACCTACCTACCTATCTTTCTATCTATCTATCTATCTTTAATATCTTCCCACAGTTTTTATCCTATTTTTTCTGCTTTACTAAATGTGTCAGGCCATAAGACTTGATTCTACCAAAGACTACTGTCGGGAGATATAAGGCAGATAAAGAGATATAGATAGGCGGATAGACTAAATTACTTGCTATTGTGTTCGGCGTATTACGTACGAATTTGAAGGAAACAGAAATGGCAACGAAGTGGAATACTTTTGTGTTAAAAGTTTACCACCCTCGGTTAATGTACGTCTATTTCCTGCGGACGTTGTGTATTTGAAAAAAGCAACTCGAAAGTTGTTCTGACCAACAAAGCTCGAATAGAGACGACCGGATTTCTTTATTATTGGGTATACTTCCGCTGACAACGTTCCATCACCGAAAATCAGCCGAGGTGAATGGCTGTGCTCATGGCAAACAAGCTTATGAAAATAGAAAAGCAAAAGCGTTAGGATATCGAAAGGTTTATAAAAGTCGACAAAACCAATCCTACCTACGTAAATACAAGGATAACAAAACACAAATAAGTTAACAAGCATACATGTGATATGTTCTGTTAAAGTATATTCAATGTATATATATATATATACCACGTTGGACAACCTTAAACACAGAATATTAAAATCTATACAATGCAATAGATAAATTATATATATATATATATATATATATATATTAATTAATTAAATGGATTTTGAAAGATTATTCATATATTTTAATTCCTTTCAGTACAATCACTTATGGAATTTTTTAGCGAAAAGATGTACAATAGGCTGTATGCGTTCTGTTCGTTACGGAGAATTGAACTTCGGATTTTAGAGTTGTAAGTCCGTTAACCACTCACAGAGGGACGTATAATTTATGGAAGTTTCAATTATTCGTGTCTACTTTCTATAAGTATATAGAAGATAAGTTAAAAATACATTTTGCTCAGGACAACAAAATGTGACAATTCATTGCCTTCACAGTGTTAATGGAACTGTCAGCTCGCGTAGAAAATAACCATTAACAGGTAAATTGATTATAAAAACATGTAGTGTATATGAGCGCCCATAGAAATTTCTCTGGGGGGGGGAGGGGAAAGTCTAAATCAAGGGACGATGGTCACGCCTTCAAAATTATGCCAAATGCCTCAAAGACAACCACGATAATTTTTCAGGGGGCAAATGCCCCCCCCCCTCCCGCTGATGAAGAATTGTACATACAGATTCTACTACTCAGCTTCGTACACGTTGTTTTTCTGATTTTATAAATCATATCTGAACTATAATTTTCGTCATTACAGATTTGCAATGCTATTATCTAAATTCGGTTGTTTAATTCTTTCACTTTTATGTTTTGTTGCTTGATGATAATTTATGAATCGTACAGGTTTTTTCCTATTCTTTTCTGATGGTAGAAAGAATCAATAATTATTTAAAACGCATTATTTAAAATTAATGCACGTATTCGAGTCGGCAATGGTAATATTAAAATATTATATTTTTTCCCATTTGTGTTCCCCATCTTCGATTAAAGCTGCTATGAACAACGATGTCGTTATTACCAACGAGAACCAGCACTACCACACTTAATACCTTCCTTTTACATAGTTATATTGTCAATGCTGTTAACAAAATTATCAAAGTATTTGCCCCCCAGTGGCACAGCGGTATGTCTGAGGACTTACAACACTAGAATCCGGGTTTCGATACCCGTGGTGGGCAGAGCACAGATAGCCCATTGTGTAGCTTTGTGCTTAATTACAAACAAACAAACAATCAAAGTATTTATAAACTATGATAAATTTATCAAGTTTAGTTTCTTTGTTTGTTTGTAGTTAAGTGCAAAGCTACACAATGGACTATCTGTGCTCTGCCTCACCGCGGGTATCGAAACACTAATTTTAGCGTTATAAGCTCTCACCTGAGCTACCGAGGGGCATAAAGTTTACTAGCACAAATGTAACATCAACTTCAAGACATTTTAAAACTGTTTATATGTTTGTTGAATACGTGTAAATAATGTGTTCCAACTCAGTATTGTTAATATTGTATTCCCAATGTGAATAAGTGTGAACCAGTATGCATGTGCTCAAAAACAAACTCTAAATATATATATATATATATATAAAAGAGTCACAGACAAGTCAATAAGATTTCAACGATTGAAACGGCAATGGCGTAAGTAGGTCTGATCATGGCAACGATCTTACATTTATTTCATTTTAACACCGGTTTATGAGAATACTTACAAAATATTTGTCTGCAAAAAAAATAATAACTCGTATGTGTATGAGGAGAGGAGCAGATTTATTTTTAACACGCGATTTTCACTTTTATGGATCAACACACAGTACTATCTATCAAAAGTAAGTTAAAATGAAAACACGGAAGCCTTTTTTTAGTTTAATATGTCACAAATTTACATTATCCATAGACACGAAAAACAAATTTATTTAAAACAATGCTTTAAAAAAACAAATGTAAAAAACTGAGAAAGTACTCACTTTTAAAAGAAAGAAAAAAAAACGTTACGAAATTATAATTTCTTAACATCTACGTATTGAATTAATGTTTTGTTGTGGCTGTTGAAGGACAGCTCGACATTGACACAACATTCTGTTTTCATTCGCTTTACGAGCACTCTCGTTAAACTTGACCGATTAAAAAACTTGCATGTTTTAATTTTATTTCGTTATTATTTGTGTAGGTAATTACACTTGTTTTTTTTTCTTCAATTTAAAGTACAGCTTCAACTCTTTGTGTGATAAAATATTTTAACCTTCCCTCATCATAGTAATTAGTTCTGCTGACTAAAAGCTTTCTAAATTTAAAAGACATCGCAAACGAAAAAGCCATTTATCTTAACGACCTTTGTTTTCAAAGTATTTCAAAAGAATTACATTTAAGAGTTACACAACGCGTATCATAGCTCTGACCATACATACAAACAACTAAGTCATTATTCTTTCTGATGACCTGACTAAAAACATTTTTCTGAATAAAATACGAAAAAAAAAAAGCAGTCACCGGAAAAAAGTAGCCATTCCTATAGGGACAAAATATCAATAAATTTGTGTTTAAAATTGCTCTTATTTTAACTGTATTTTAATTATTTGTAGCAGCCGAAACATTATCTCATAGATGGATGTACATTTGAACTAAACATATAGCGGACAACTATGCTGATAGTAAAGACTATTCTGATTAGGATTTCCTGAACTTTATCCAATTTTAATGAGGTAAGCCACATCTATTTATAAAGATCTTTATCTGCCTGTCTGAAAAATAAACAATGCTTAACCACTTGACTGCATGATCCTTCAAGTTACAGTAAGTAATTTATAATTATACTTATCTGTGACACATCAACATTCAATTTGTATTTGTTGACAACACTTACACTGTCGCCACATGAAAGATTTATAAGGCTTCAATCGTCTCTCTATTATGTAGCCTGTGTTATTATCATCATTCTAGCTTTTTCACTTGCTTATGTGTACAAGAGTTTTTATCTTTCAGTATCTCTAAATTTCCAGTTGCTATAATGTATACAAGATTAAGGTTATATATGTGCATTCTATTTACCTCGTGCACGAAAGGATATTCTCAGTACATACGTAGCAAAAACCGTAATACAGCTTTCAGGTTTTTTGAACCCAAGCATTAATATTACATGTTGACCAAGAAAAAGATACAAAGACAAGTACGTGGATAGATGTTGCAGTCAGTACGTGCAATTCAATCACTGAGTAGCGGGGGTTGGGAGCTAAAATATTTTCCCCATTGAGTTTCATTCATGTTGAAGAGTTATGGTACAATATCAACCATCTTCAAAAATTTTAAATATTTCAAGAAGAGATTTTGCGACATCTTACAAATCCACTACAGGTTTTCTCAACCAATGAGTCGTGACCGAAAATTGAGTCTTGAGAATGTGTGAAATGGTCGTGAAGAGACTGAAAATAAGTAAACGTTTACATAACTGCTAAGTATTTAATAAACCAGATGTTTTTTGTACTAAAGCTATATTTACTGGGTCGTGACTGATCATCAATGTTTACAAATGGGTCTAAGAACCATTAGAGCAAGGCTTCTTTGTTTGTATTTGAGCACAAAGCTACACGATGGGCTATCTGTGCACTGCTCACCACGGGTATCGAAACCCGGTTTCTAGCGTTGTAAGTCCGCAGACATTCCGCTGTGCCACTGGGGGCTAGAGCAATATAGAATTCCATCATCTTATTCCTGTGTCAAATGGAATACAAAAAAATCTGCAACTAGTACCCACTTCAGAACATACGTTCTTCCCCATCGGAAGTTAGATTCCTCTAAACTGCAATGAAGAATAACAGGCTTTACTGAAATAAACAGTAAAAGCTTTCACCAAAAAATGTTTCTGTGAAATATTTTTGGTAAGTTATGAATGGGTAAATTACCTAGAAGTAGCATTGTTCAATTGAGGAACCAACAAAAACCATTCCATGGTTTAGTTAGACTGTCACCTGGAAGTAAGAGCATTCAACTATAGAATTGAAGCCTTTGTATGTGTATTAAGAAACAAAGATATATTTGTTACATGTATGGCACAATCTACAACAGAGGGTTAAGAATACCCGTGCCTTTAAGTCAAGGGAATGCAACAAAGGTTTCTTAGTAATTACCAAAAGATGGGGTTGCCGCTTGTATATGTTTACTACAATTTACATAAATAATCCGTTTATTTAAGTTATCACCTAAATGGTCGGGTTTGGTAAGTGCAGAAAGCAATGAATAAACGATATCAACGTTAAAGGAAACAGGCACAATGATAAAGCTAGAAACTGTTATTAGTAAATCAACACAAAACACAGGAGGAAATGAGAATTAGAATTCTCCCATAAATGTTATTTTCATCTTGACAAACATATTTTATGTTTCTAATCAAGAAACAGTGTTTATTATTTTGAACAGAGAACCAAAAAATAGTTGGACACATTGTGTTTTAAGGAAACACTTGGTAGCTGAAGAGAGTTAGTAAATAATAAGTACAATTCAATAAATCTGTTTCTTTCCGAACAAGAAAATCCGACCACGTAATATTTATTCTCAACACGAACTCTTTCGGACGGAGAAATAACGTTATTGTTGTGACGAAAAAGAAACTTACGATATCTTAAGTTATATGAAGCTCACACATACTCGAATAAAGTCTTCATTTGTAAGGGTAGCACGTCGTGAATGAGACTAGTCTCAAAATAGAAGTAACAAAACAACAGGAATAGACCTCGAACAAAGTTCTCATAAATCCTAAACTCAGTCAAAACTTTCCAGTTCAAAAGGCACTTCTACGGTATAATATTTTTAAAACGCTTTTTTAAAAAAAGTTATTTTTAAGATCACTTTGGTACATTTGTTCCATTTACTATAACGATTTTTTTCGAAATTTTACATATACTTCTATCTTAAACACGGAGTTTTGAGTTTTATGATAATTTAATCAAAACATGATTTTTTTTCGACAAGAACTTTCTAACTTCTAGAACAGAACAGTGTTAAATTTTACCTGAAGATATTAGGTCGTCAAGAAATTAATATCGCTTTTAAATGAAAAAACCCGACCAACTTATATATTAAAACAAAACATTTATTAAATGAAGTAATCTCCGTTCTTATCGATGATGCTT